ATGATATTTATATATTCTATATAATATCATAAATATTTTTATATATATTCATTTATATGTATATTTATATTATATATTTACATTTATGTTATTAATATATATTTGTATTATATATAATATAATAAATATATAATATAATATAATGTAATCTCATATAATATAATACAATATATTTTATATTAATAGTATATGTCATATATATTATATATAATATAATATAATATAGTATAGTATAATATAATATACTATATAATAATGTATGTATAATATAATACATAATAATATCATAATATACTATATAAAAGCAAATCCCAATTATTTGGAAAAAGACTATGATGATGATGTATTATATTATACTAATGTATATTATCTAATGTTATATAATGTAGTATAATACAAAATAATATATTATTTATATAAAACGGTATTTATAAATTATATTAAATATTATTCACATATTTAATAATAGTGAATAGTGATCACCAAGAGTAGTAACCGGCAATAAAGTTTAGAGAGTTTGGGTTCCCAGGGTGCCCTCAGGAATTTAAACTTTCCCATTTTAAAAGAGAAAGGGAACTTTGTGGTAACGTTTTGGTTCTTTTCACTGTATCAGTTCTCGCGTAGCCAAACACAGAACTACTACAGTTATTAGGAACCTTATCTATCTGTATCAGTTCTCGTGCAGCCAAACACGGAACTGCTACAGTTATTCGGAACCTTATCTATCTGAACCCAAACGTTCTTGCAAACAAATACGCCTTAAGTGTCCTCGTGTTCATTTATTGACATATAAAAAAAAAAGAAGTCAAATTATGATGTGCCCCATGGATAAATGCTTCCTTGTGCAAGAACCCATCAAGGAGCATCGTTAGATTCACAAAAAATTCCTTAGCTTAATGACCAAAGTTAAAATAAAATAAAATAAAAAAATAAAAAAATAAAAAGAAAAATTATGTTTGTTTTAAAAAATTAATGTCCTTTGTATAAATGGAGATTGCTGAAGTTTTGGAAGGTTAGATCTAAGTATTTAAAAACTCAAAATTCAACTTTTCTTTTTCGAAAATGTTCATTTGGTGGACCCCAAAACTTTATATTTGGTAGACCCCAAAACTTTAGATTGAAAAGATATTCCTAAATAGGCGTTTTACCACGGGATCAGAGGTATGATGTGCTCATGTCCACTATAAAGGCCCAAAGAAATTGGAGGAGGGAATTATGGAGAACCAATGAATTATTCAAAGCACTGTATTAAAACATCATGATTTTCAATCCGGATCACTGATTTGGATGGGAATCAGTTTGAACCGATCCGGTTTTGAACGGTGTGGGTCTTGGCTTGGTTGGCCCTAAAACCCCCTTGTGCATCTAGCTATCTATCTAATCTTGTCTAAAGTCCCCTCAAAGTCCTCTACCCATAGACCCATATTTTAATTTTTAGTTTATATCATTTACTTTTTAATATTTGTTGGATCACCTATTCAGATGGATCCAAATTATCAATCCAATGACCCACCATGTACCCAACCCATCGATCTGCACCGATCCGGGTTTTAAAATGCCTCTTCAAAGGACAATCTGATGACTATTTATAAGGCTTAAAAAAAAGAGTTCCTATGGCGTACTCCGCATACGATATGCCTACTCCCTTAAGTGAAAGAGGTACATAGAGAAAATTGTTTTATAGCTTAAATTTTGGTATCCACCTATTAGAATATGCAGAGAACTCTCTGTACATTGATCGTATTATAGAATATACAAAATCCTGTATAAATATACGACCAGTAAAAATTAATGATAGATACCAACAATTATGGATAGATACCACCTAATCTTATTATAATCAGTTCAAGATACATATCATCTAATCTTATCATAATCAAGAGATACCTACCATACAAGGTCACTTAATCTTATCAAGAGATATATACCTACACAGATACATGTACTAATATGTATCCATACCATACTAACATATATCCATATTAATATATATCAGTACTAACACCCCCCTCAAACTCAAGATGTTTTAAGAGAGAGCAGCTAGAATTTGAATACTAAGTTGCATAAA